GGGGAGAGCGGGAGGGGGAGAGCGAGAGATAGAGCTTGTGCAGTTGGCAGTCCTGCAGGGGCTCCCCTAAACCAAGCCAAAGGCTGAGGGGTGCCCGGCCATGGAAGCTGATCAACCAGGGCCTATGGAAAGAGAGAACAGAGAAAGGGAGGGTATGAGGGAGAAAGGGAGGGAGGGAGGGAGAAAGAAAAGGAAGGGAGGGGGAAAGGGAAGGAGGGAGGGAGGAAAGGAAAATAGAGGAAAGGAAGAGCGGGAGGAAAAGAAAGAGGAGAGGGAAGGAGGGAGGAAGAAAAGAGAAGGAAGGAAAGAAAAGGGAGAGAGAAGAAGGGAAGGAGGGAGACTGGGAAGGAGGGAAGGAGGGAGGGAGGGAAGGAGGGAGAAAAGGGGAAGGTACTTTGAGAACTGGTAGCTGACCTTTCCCCTTGGGTTTCAGTGGGGTTTTCCATCTCTCCACCCGTCAAACTGGATGTGGTCCTGAAAAAGACCCCACCCTGAACCTCGCCAGGCTGTGAGGCCACTGAAACCAGCATGGAGGAGCAGGAGAATAGGGTAAAGGTCAGTGGAAGGGGAAGAAGGGCCTGAGGCGGGCAGTCCAGCGGCAGTCCAGCTGACTCTGCATGAGCACCCGCAGCACACAGTGGGTTCTCGAGTGTACACAGAAGATTCTCAGGAGCACACAGCAGGTTCTCAGGAACACACAAAGGATTCTTGGGCACGCACAGTGGGTTCTAGGGCTCACACAGTGGATTCTCAGGCTCACACAGTGGGTTCTCAGAAGCACACAGTGGGTTCTGGGGAACACACACTGGGTTCTCAGGAGCACACAGCAGGTTCTCAGACTCACACAATGGGTTCTGGGGAACACACACTGGGTTCTCGGAGTGCTCTCAGCCCAGAGCCCCTAAATGAGAAGAGTGCTTGCCGTTGCCCATGATGACCTGTCTCCACTTCCTGCCCAAGACCTGAGGGCACCCTCCCCCCCACCTGTCACAGGCAGCCCTCGAGGGTACCCTCCCCCCCCCTGCCTGTCACAGGCAGCCCTCTGAGCCACCACCTCAGCCCATTCTCTCTCCTTTGTTCCCTTCCATCTTGGAGCAGCATCATTACTGTGGTTGTCTCCAGGCTGACTGAGGACACTTGGAGCCAGAAGTAGCTGCCAGCCTCGGGGCCTTAGGGCGTCAGTGGGTGAACTTCTCAGTGGCCATGAGCGGGACCTACGTACCTGGTTGCTCCTGGGTACAATTGAAGAGCGTTAATTCTCACAGAGCCTTTCTAGAAAATATCCCCCTTGGACCGCTGGGACTCTCCAAACCCCCGGAAAGAAGGCAGGGGTGAAGCTGGGACTCCAGATGCTTCTTTCTTCCCTCAAGCCCACAGGTCCCACAGCTGCGATTCGAAGAACCCGGGGCCCAGGCAAGGGGTGCTGGGCCGGGATGACCTCAGAGACCCTCAGAGCCCCAGCAGGGCTCCCCTCCCACCCCGCGGGGCACAGGCAGGGACAGCCTCAGGGGCTGGAGGGTGGCAGGCCGCAGGTGCCACGGCCTTGCTGACAGGCAGCATCCAGCCACGTTCCCGGCCTCCTCGGTCCCCCACCCCTCGGCCTCACCCCTGTGCTGGGGTGGCTTGTGTCACACGGGGTCTTGGAGCAGATGAAAAGCCTGTGTTACTGACTACCCACACTTAAACAGAATCAACTTCTCGCTCTTTCTATAAGGCCCTCCCACACCAACGTATACACTCCCTCTCTTCCCTTTTTTTTTGCCAGACCTGGGCGCTGTCCCTGAGCTTCTTTTACTCAAGGCTAGCACTCTACCACTTGAGCCACAGAGCCACTTTCAGCCTTTTCTGTGTATGTGGTACTGAGGAATCAAACCCAGGGCTTCCTGCATGCTAGGCAAGCACTCTACCACCTAGCCACATTCCCAGCTCCCTCTTCCCTTTCTTTTATTGTGTGTGTTTTGTTTTATTTTTGCCAGTCCTGGGGCTTTAACTCAGGGCCTGGGCACTGTCCCTGAGTTTCTTTTGCTCGAGGCTAATACTCTACCTCTTGAGTCACAGTGCCACTTCCAGGTTTTTCTGTTTATGTGGTACTGAGGAATTGAACCTAGGTTTCATGCATGGTAGGCAAGCACTCTACCACTAAGCCACATTCCCAGCCCTCTTTTATTGTTTGTTTTTTTAGGTCCAAGACCAGGACTCAAACTCAGTCTCTGACAGGTTCACTCATTGGCTAGCATTCTACCAACCGGGCAACCACGCCTCCAGCCCCTCCCTCTCCCCTTTCTGCAGAGACCGAGATGCTTGTCCCGTGCAGTCCCACCCCTGTGTACTTGAAGCAGCCCAGCTCATGGTGGCACTTATCCTGATGAGGCCTGTCCTCGACTGCTCAGACTCCTTCCCGTGGCCTCCATAAGGAGGGGCTCAGGGACGCTCTGCCCCTCCTGTGGGAGGGGAGCCAGGAAACATAAAGATAAAGAGAGTTGATGCTGGCTGGTGGCTGCGTTCTGAAGCAGAGACCCCCCCCCCATGCAGGGCACAGGCCAGGCAGAGTAGAGAGGGGCATGAGGAAGAGGAGGAGGGAGATGAGCAGGAGAAGGAGAAGAGGAAGCAGAGGAAGCAAAGGAAGAGAAAGAGGAGGAGGAAGAAGAAGTGGAGGAGGGGAGGAGGAAAAGAAAGAGGAGGAGAAGAGGAGCAGGAGGAGGAAGAGTAGGACCAGACCACATGAATGTGGGAACTGGATGGTTCCAGAAACCTGGAACCTGATGGCCTTAAACAAGTCATGAATCCACTGGGAAGTGATGGAAGACCTAACTGGGGTGTCAGTGGATGGTCTGGGCTTCTAAGAAAAGAAAGATCTAGAAGGAGGTGTGTGCAGGGATTGGCTGAGCAGCTCAGCAATACGCGGTAGCCACGGTCACCTGTGGAGGAAGCGGGGGACCAGCTGCAGCTCAGCCCATCCTCAGGAGACAACTGCTCCCCAAAGCCCCTCGGCAGACCCCGCCCACGAGGATAGGAACTGCGTGTCGCGCACACACACACACACACACACACACACACACACAGGAGCATGGACTCCGGTAGGGCACACCATCCCCTCAGGCTGCAGGGCTTTGCTCCTGCTGCTGGAATCTTCTCCGTGAGGCTCCCGTGCCTCCCAAGTGACTGACAGCTCCAGGACACAGAACCCAGATCCCCTGCTCCGCCTGGAACTATGTGGGGTGCACATCATCTTCCGGAGAGCCCCAGTTTCCAGGCTGAGGCCGGGATGCTGCTGCCTTGTTCTCCCCCATCCCCAACCCCACCACTGCCAACTTGACCCCTGACCCCCACCCAGCCCTGCATGCCCACATCCTGGCCAGCCCCCACCTCCTCTACCATGGTGTGGGAATCTGCTTGGAGGGAGGGGAGGGGACACTCCTGGGAAGCTCAGCCTGAGCCAACGGACACAGGAAAGTCACGATGCCCTAGATCAACCATATCCATTGCTCAGGTAGACGCGTGTAATGCAGGGGCTCCGATAGCCAGGAAGGAAGGAAAAGGTATTTGTCAGTGTCTGCTCATTACAGGAAAACTGAAAACATGAACAGAGAAGTCAGAACCTTCACACTGTGCTGGTGGGAGGGTCAACGAAGGCAGCCCTTTGGAAAACAGCCTGGCAGTTCCTCAAGAAGTTCAACTAGACTGAAGCTGAGAGCTGAGGATCTCAGTTCAGAGCCAGCCCAGGCAGGAAAAACTCATCTCTAATGGACTACTTTTAAAAGGCTGGAAGTGGAGCTGTGATTCAAGTAGTCGAGAGCACAAAAGCCCCAGGCCCTGAGTTCATGCCCCAGGACCAGCACCAAAAAAAAAAAGCAATATGATCACTCTAGCACCTAGGTGCATGCCTGAAGAGAACAAAAACACATGTCCACATACACACTCGTGTGCCAAAGTCTGTAGTGGCAGTATTCATCATAGCAGAAAGTAGAAACAGCCGGGCGCTGGTGGCTCACGCCTGTAATCCTAGCTACTCAGGAGGCTGACACCTGAGGATCTTGGTTCAAAGCCAGCCCGGGCAGGAGAGACCGTGAGACTCCTATCTCCAATAAACCACCAGAAAACCGGAAGTGGCACTGTAGCTTAAGTGGTAGAGCGCTGGCCTTGAGCTGAAGAGCTGAGGGACAGCGCCCAGGCCCAGAGTTCAAGCCCCACGACCGACAAAAAAAAAAAAAGAAAGTAGAAACACACTGCACGCTCTCCTCCCCCGGTGAGCATGCACATGAACCAAATACGATAGACCCGTGCAATGAAATATTACTCAGCACCTTCAGCGGTTACCATACAGAACCCCATTGCCTGCTGGGGCAGGGCATGGGGTGAGGAGGGGCTCAAACCACACAAAACAAGTCAAACCAAGTATGGAAGCACCAGCCTGTCAATCAGCACTGGAGAGGCTGAAGGAAGCAGAAGTGATAAGACCCATGAGCCCCGGTTAGGAGCTACCTTGAACCCCATAAAGCTCCCCGAGAGTCTGTCATTTGTCTGTCCTGATTTGTCACCTCCTTTTATCAGCCTCTGGGGCCCCCAGTAGGTTGGCCCATCCCACTGTAAAGAAGAGCAACGCACACCCTCTGGCGTTCCTGCGGCCTCTGTGCCCTGGAGCTGCTGATGGTGACGTCCTGCACGGATGCACCGAGGGATGGACAGACGGATGCACACACCAGATTTGGTCCAGACACATTCGCCCGCCGGAGGGCCGGTAGCAGCGATTGCTGAACGCATGGAAAAAGGGCGGGGTGGGGGTGGCGGGCCTGTTTGCACTCCACACAGCGCAGCCAGGCCCAGCTGCACTGTTCAAACAGACTCGTGGGCCACAGACACCTGTGCCTCGGGGAAGAGGGTGGAGGGGGGTTGGAGGTAGGAGCCTGGGCCAGGCCCCCGGGGCTCCGTGCTGGCTGCTGTGCTCTCCTGCTGCCTCTCACAGCCAGACCCACGCCGTGGGCGGAGTGGCCGGCCACGCCATGCCCCAGGCCGGGCTGCACAGCTGCTGGCGCGGCCGGCTTCTGCCGCTGCTGGCGGCCTACCTCTGCTACCTGCTGCTGGGGGCCACGGTGTTCCAGTTCCTGGAGAAGCAAGCAGAGGCTCAGTCCAGGGATGAGTTTCAGCTGGAGAAGCTGCGGTTTCTGGAGAACTACACCTGCCTGGACCAGAGGGCCCTGGAGCGGTTTGTGAGGGTGAGTGGCACATGGGCGGGACAGGACGGGGCAGGATGGGGGACCGGAGGCGTGCAAAGGTGGGCCCAGGGGAGCTCCCGTGGCAGATGAGGCCCTCCTGGCCCCAGGTGCTCAGGATCCATTTGGAGGCAGAGTGGGGTGGGAGAAGGTGCTTAGTGACATCCCGACCTGGATCCTGGTCCCAGGCCCAGCAACCGATCGCTGAGCCATCATTCACCCTCTCTGGGCCCAAGCATCCCTGTGGGTAAGGCCACGAGAAGCGTGTTTGTGCTGTGGACATTCTGACCGCTGATTAAAAGCCCTCTTTGAGCTGTAGAGACATGAGCTGTGTGTCACAGTCATCAAACACTGTCCTGATTGCCTCCTCCCACCAGTCCGTTCCCTCCGCCCCGCTCCGGGGCTGCCCGTCACCAGCAGATAAAGGGAGCTGCAGTGCCACGGTCGCCTCTCCTGGGGCAGAGCGCTAGCCTTGAGCAAAAATGCTCCGGGAGGCCTCTGCGCCTCTGCTCATACAAAGTAACGTTGATCAACATGAATCCCAGGAAATGGAAACAAGAGGGTGTTTTTTTTTCTTTGTTGCTATTTTTGTTTTCTTTTCCCTTTGTCTTGTCTGTGCATTTATCTGTCTTTGGGAGGGTAAGGGGGGTCACAGAAATGGAGGGACAAAGGGTGAGCAAATGCAGCAGTGATACTCACTGGACACTATGTAGAAAATGAACTCTATGACTTGTGGGTGGGGCGGGAGGGAAAACTGGGAGAGAGTAAGGGAAGGGGCCATATTATCCTAAAAGAAATGTATTCTTCTTTTTCCTTTTTTCTTTATTTTTTTTTTGTCCTGGGGCTTGAACTCAGGGCCTAGAAGCTGCCCCTGAGCTTCTTTTGCTCAAGGCTAGCACCCTACCATTTGAGCCACAGCGCCACTTGCAGCTTTTTCTGCTCATGTGGTACTGAGGAATCGAACCCAGGGCCTCAGGCATGCAAGGCAAGCACTCTACCACTGAGCCACCTTCCCAGACATGTATTCTTTACCCGTCTTATGTAACTGTAACTCCTCTGTACATCATCTTTCTAATAGCAATTTTTGTTTAATTTTTAAAAAAAAATTTTTGAACTCAGTGCCCAGGAGCTGAGTTCAAGCCCTGTCCTCCCAAAAACAAAAGAAAGAAAAGAAGGGGGCTCCACCCAGCTCTGCTGTATTAAGCACACGGCGTGGGGTTCAACAGGGGGTGCCAAGGCTCCTGAGTTGGAGGTGCAGGAGCAGATCTGGGCTGGATGGGCAGGGAACTGAGATCTGTCCCAGCAACAACAGTGGGACCACAGTCCCCAGAGCAGGGCTGAGGAAAGCTCAAAGCCTCCCAACACTCCTGGGGTAACACGGACATAGGGAGGCCCTGAAACCTGGGCCCTGGGTAGAGGTGGGGAGCATGGGATCTGGGCTCTGGCTAGCTCTGGGAGGGCGGCCACAGTCTGAGCTGCAGCCCACAGAAGGTCCACTGATAAGCCTGTTGGACTGCTCCAGGGAAAACAAGACATTTCTGTCTGTCTGTCTGTCCTACCCCATCCCCCCCAAGGCCACAGGCCTTTGCTCACCAAGGACTCAGAGCTGGGAGGCAGATGAGTGCCCAGGAGGATCCTGGGAGAAGACACCTTGTGGTTGAACTCCCAAGGCGAGCCGGTACCGGTGGCTCACGCCTGTCATCCTAACTACTCAGGAGGCTGAGATCTGAGGATCAGGTTTCAAAGCCAGCCCAGGCAGGAAAGTCAGTCAGACTCTTACCTCCAATGAACCACCAGAAAACCAGAAGTGGCGCTGTGGCACAAATGATAGAGCGCTTGGCGTGAGCTGAAGAGCACACAGACAGCGCCCAAGCCCAGAGTTCAAGCCCTATGACCAACAAAAACAAAAACAAAACAAATGCAGGCCAAGCAGCCGACTCCGTGGGAAGCAGGCTTGCCCCAGGACCCAGGGCCCAGACAGTGACCTCTTTCTCCACCACCTAGGGGCTCTCAGAGATGACCATCCACCCCAAACTCACCACGCTTAGGAGCTCCCCGTCCCTCCTTAGAGGAATGGGTGGCCTGCAGGTGGCAGTGGGGATAGAGTCGGACTAGAGCAAGTGCAGGCCCCCTCCCTCCCTGGGAAGTGTTTCGCCCAGCCTCTCTGGGTGTGTGGGAAAAGGGGGGAAGGGCTGTCAAGCACCTCAAAAGAGGTCAGCTCCTGCCAACATGAGGAGAAGCAGGCAGCCTGGGACCGAGAAGGTCCAGGGTCACCCCGCTGTGGCCGAAGCCAGTGGGTTCCCACAGAAAAGAGAGGCGGGAGCTGCCACGCTGCCCTGCAGCTGACCCCCAGCTTTGGGGCACTGCCAGGTGACGAGACTTCTGTCCTGGAACAAATCTCAGCTAAGGGGAGAAGGTGGGGGGTAGGGAAAGAGCACGCCCAAGGCATTCTCTCAAGGGGCTGGGCCAGGGACGGAGGGAACCTAGGCTTGAGATCTGCAAAAGATCCAGTTCTAGAAACACACGCTCAACACGCACATACACGTAAGGCATGCACACACAATACGACACATGAGCACCGCCCCCATACAGGGCCTTCGCACTGGCCTCTGCAGGGCTGGACTCACTAGGGGGCAGCAGAGAGCAGGACCACTAGCTCCCCTGGCTTCTTGGAGAGCAGTTCCTGTCCCCACCACCACCTTGTGGGAGGGCTTCCCCATGGTCCCCAGATCCTGTGTTCCCCCCCAGAAACGCTTCCGGGAGCATCCAACCTGAAACCTCCCAGGGTCCCTTTTTTTTTTTTTTTGGTCAGCTGTGGGGCTTGAACTCAGGGCCTGGGCGCTGTCCCAGAGCTCTTTTGCTCAAGGCTAGCACTCTACCACTTGGAGCCACAGCTCCACTTCTGGTTTTCTGGTGGTTCATTGGAGATATGAGTCTTGCCTGGGCTGGTTTTGAACCGTGATCCTCAGGTGTCAGCCTCCTGAGTAGCTAGGATGACAGGCATGAGCCACTGCCCAGCTTCCCCCGTGTCCTTTAAAGCAGCGTCTCCATGCCTCCTTACATTTTGCCCACCTCCCCATCCATGGCCCTCCACCAGCCCCTGCTCACAGCTGGCCAAGGCACAGGCATGGACACGGCCTCTGGCTTACAGCCCAACTCTGGAACTGTCTCGTGAACTCTGAGCATTGTGTTCTCTGTGAGATAGGACGCTGCCGTCTGACCCAGTGTGAATCAGCGGACATGAGCACACTTGATTGACAGCTTGCCAATCACTGGCGTTCGGTAACCGCGCGTCCCTCATCCCCACTCTCCCTACACGCACACACAGGTCATCATGGAAGCCTGGGTGAAAGGCGTGAACCCCAAAGGTAACTCCACCAACCCCAGCAACTGGGACTTCGGCAGCAGCTTCTTCTTCGCGGGCACAGTGGTCACCACCATAGGTAAAGGGCATGGGGCACAGGGTGGGCTCGGGACCCTGTCTTGGCCTGGGCTGGGGAAGACCAGCACCAAAACAAAGCATGGGGCTGATTTAGAAGCTGGTGTGTGGGCAGGAAAGTGAGCCAGGAAGTTAGGAGACAAAAGAAGGCAATCCAGGTGGATCGGGCAGGTTGCTGGGGTGGGTGGGCTTACCTGGCTTGGGGCATCTAGGGTACTGGGCAGAGGTCACTTCAAAGCAGCCCTGGGGCCAGGCACCCATGGCTCACGCCTGTAACCCTAACTACCCAGGAAGCTGAGATCTGAAAATCAAGGTTCAAAGCCAGCCCGGACAGGAAAAGTCCACGAGACTCTTATCTCTAATAAACCACCAGAAAACTGGAAGTGGCACTGTGGTTCAAGTGGTAGAGCGCTCGCCTTGAGCTGAAGAGCTGAGGGACAGCGCCCAGGCCCAGAGTTCAAGCCCCACGACCAACAAAAAACAAACAAAAAAAAAGCAGCCCTGGGAAGGGCTGAGCCTGCAGGCCAAACCCACTTTGGGGGGAGCTTCTGGAAAGACCTGAGATAGGGGGTCATGTGTGCACGGTGACTGCCGACCAGAGTTGTTGGACTCCTCCCCCCCCCCAGCATTGCAGGGGGCCCAGGTGCTGCGGAGGTGGGAGGGGTAGGGAGGGACACAAGGAGGGGGAGTTCCTCCCCTCCCTGACATGCGCACACTCCACCACCCACAGGGTACGGGAACCTGGCACCCAGCACGGAAGCAGGGCAGATCTTCTGCGTCTTCTATGCCCTGGTGGGCATCCCTCTCAACGTGATCTTCCTCAACCACCTGGGCACGGGGCTGCGTGCCCACCTGGCCACCCTGGAGCGGTGGGAGGACCAACCCAGACGCTCCCAGGTAGGGGCCTCGCCCCCCTGCAGGCTCACCGTGACAGAGGGACTGTAGACGCCCAGATGGACTGGGTGCGCGGAGGTGAGGATAGGCACCCATGGGAGAGAAGAGGCTGCCACGGGGACCCAGTGGGAGGGAGGAGTTGGGTTCATGACACAGGCTGGACACAGAAGGGCCTCGGAATGCTCAGAGCACATACACTCACTGGAGTCAAGACACAAAGGACTGGAAAAGCCCGGCACTGGCCATGCCCAGGGAAGGCTGGGCCCGTGGACTGGGTGGCTCTGCAGCTGACTGAAGTAGGCCATGAGAGAGCTGACCACTGGCCAGTGGTTCTCTCATGAGGAATCCGGACAGTGTATCTCTGTGATCAATACAGAACAACAGAGCCCTTTCATAAGGAAAAAACAGGCTCCAGCCAGGCGCCAGTGGCTCATACCTGTAATCCTAGCGACTCATGAGGCTGAGATCTGAAGATCCCAGTCCAAAGCCAGCTGGGGCAGGAAAGTACATGAGACTCTATCTCCACATAACTACCAGGAAGTAGAGCTGTGGCTCAATGTGGTAGAACACTAGCCTTAAGCAAAAGAGCTCAGGAATAGCACCCAGGCCCTGAGTTCAACTGACAGGCAAAAAACAAAGGCACCATAGCAACTGGGTGCTGGTGGCTCACACCTATAATCCTAGCTACTCAGGAGGCTGAGATCTGAGGATTGTGGTTCAAAGTCAGCCTGGGCAGGAAAGTCCATGAGACTCAGATCTCCAGTAAACCACCAGAAAACCGGCTCAAGTGGTAGTGTACTCGCCTTGAGCTGAAGAGCTCAGGGACAGTGCCCAGGCCCAGAGTTCAAGCCCTAAGACTGATAAAGGGTGGGGGGGGAAGATGCTGAGATCTGGGACAGTGCCAAGTCCCCAGGGAGCCTCCTCAAGGGAATTGACCCTCTAAGGCACTCTTCTCTTTGGGCTGACAGGACCCACAGGCACAGACAAGGCCTGCAAGGTGGGCGGGTCCTAGGACTGGTCCAGCCCCCTCTCCTCAAGTTTCCCTAGCCCGCCTCCCCAGCCCATCCCTGTCATCCTGGGGCCTTCCGGGTAGACTCAGGGCCATCCCCATACCCTCCCCCTCACCCATCCCCCCAGCTCCTGCAGGTGCTGGGACTGGCTGTGTTCTTGACCTTGGGGACACTGGCCATCCTCATCCTCCCCCCTGCGCTCTTCAGCCACGTGGAGGGCTGGAGCTTCCGAGAGGGCCTCTACTTCGCCTTCATCACGCTGAGCACCATAGGCTTCGGGGACTACGTTGTGGGTGAGGATGAGATAGGGGGTGTCTGGGGGTGCAGGGAGACCCACTGGGACTTGGGGGAGGGGAGATATCAGGGGTTGTCAGCCATAACCTTCAAAGTCCCCGCCTGGAGTCCACTCCCCAGAAGTCATCGCTGATCCTCGTAATGAGGACCAGGGAGGGAACACCTGGTGGGCAGAGGTCCCTGCAGGACGGGGAGGTGGCCAGGCCCTCAGACGCCTGCTGTCCCCTCCCCTGGCAGGCACAGACCCCAGCAAGCATTACCTCTCGGTCTACCGGAGCCTGGCGGCTGTCTGGATCCTCCTGGGACTGGCGTGGCTGGCGCTGGTGCTCTCGCTCGGCCCACTGCTTCTGCACAGGTGTTCCCAGCTGTGGACTTTCTCCAGGGGCCTTGGCTTCAAGGACGGAGCAGCGCCTGACCCTGAGAGCCCCCCCAGACCTCAGAAGATCCCTATCTCAGACTGAGGCCCCTGAGTGGTCCAGCCGTCCCCCAGCCCCTCTCCCCTTTCCAGACACGCTTCAGAGTCCCTCACCCACCTCCTCCTCCCCAAACCTGAAGAGGATCAGGTCAAAGGGGGGAGGGGAAAGGAAGAAGCAGGACCAAAGATGCGTGTGGATGGAGCCATGTGACATGGCCCCGCAGAGCCCCTGCCCCCCCGAAAAGGGACAGGAAAAGCCAAACCCAGCATGGACCATATGATCAGAGATCTCCTCGCACCGCACCCCCAAGAGACCTGGGACAGACAGCAAGCAAGGTGACTTGCTTCTCAACTCATCTGATAGATACACGATGTGCCCCCACCATGCCAGGCACCACGCCAGGCCCTAGAGATAGAACAGTCCACATTCTTGCTGTGGTGTTGGCCTAGTGGAGAATCAGTCATGGAGAATCAACCTTCAACGATGTCCTAAGGGCTTTGATGAGCACAGGGCACAGCCAGGGGCAGAGAGGGCACTGGGCAGTCATTTCAGAACAACTTTTGTATAGACAAGAAGCTCTGTGCCCCCATGAAGCTCACAGCTAAGGGGGAGGGCAAGCTGCCAGCTCCCCAGGCCCAGAGGCCCAAGAGCTGACCTTGAACAAGGCTTAGGGCCCTTGGGGTGTCCTGCTACTTTTAAGACTCTGGACCTCATCCCGTCACTCTGGGCTCCTCCCTAAGAAGCCAGAGGGCCAGAAGATCCCAAACACCTTGCTGGAAATGAGCTGCGGGACCTCATTCTCCACGCTGCAAAGTCAAAAGCCAGCAGCAGAAGTTGTGGGTCCATCACAGCACCTGTCCTTACCCAGGACCAGAAGTGCAGGCCCTTAACTCTCCCATCACCCCGTGCCACGCTGAGAGCTCTGGATGGCGCCAAGCTGGGGTGGAGGAGCTCAGGACCAAGAGCTAAGAAAGGCCCACAGCACGGAGGGTCGTGGGCCTTGCCATGGACTCCTCACACGGCCTGTGCCCCTCTTCTGATGGGGTGGAGGAGGAACACAGGGACGGGAAGGGACAGGCACCACCTCCAGGTCCTCTCTCCCGTCGAGCTCACAGTGGGGAGCTGCTGAACCCCCGGGGAGAGAGGCAGCAGGTCCGAGGACTTAGGCTGAGCCTCAGGACAATAAACTTGGCCCCTGCTTTCTCTTCCTCCGTGCGGTTTCCAGGCCTCCCCCCTCTCCCCCCCCCACAATCCCTCCCCCGGCTGTGGGAAATGCTGGGGCTGCACCCTGGGCCCTCCCCCTCTCCTGCCCGTGGCCACCCGGGCTGTCCCCTCCTTCTCCCTGTCCTGGGCGTGGGGGTGGACGCTTCCCAGCGAGGCGGGGCCGCTGCCCTGGCTCAAGGCCTCTCCTTGTCCCCAGGATTGGATCCGGGCCACATGGGCTGGACGGGCGCACCCCACAGCACACCCTTGACCAGCAGGCGTGGGTTAAAGAAGGGGTGGGCTGGCTGCCGGGCCTTCCTTTCTGCCTGGCCTGGCCCCTGGACTCTTCAGCCATGTGCCGGCTGGGAGCGCGCGTGGGGCCCCACTGCCGGGCCCGGGGATGCCAGCTGCGTGGCACGGGGCTGCTGCTGCTGGCCTACCTGGCTTACCTGGTGCTGGGCACCTGCGTGTTCTGGGCGCTGGAGGGCCGCGCCATTCAGGACTCCAGCCACAGCTTCCAGCAGGACAAGTGGCATCTCCTACAGAACTACACGTGTCTGGACAGCCCGGCGCTGGACCTGCTGATCCGGGTCAGGGGACAGCGGGGCAGGGGCTCTCAGGGCGGGACAGTAACTTATCCAGACACATGCATGGTGCAGATATCACCAGGGCAACAGGGTGGGGGGGAGGCGGGCGGCTGCATCCCTGGTCACCAGCCCTCGGGGCCGGCCTGGTCAGCAGGGTTCGCAGATGGCCCCGGTACACACGTGGCGCTGTGTGCTGTGTCTGCCTCGGACCTGGCCTGTGGGTGATGGGGAAGGAGCACAGGAGCCTTTTCCAAAGAGAGTGCCTCCAGCAAATAGGAGCTTGGGGGGTGGGGGTGGGCCTCAGGGGGCGTGGCCAGGCCTAAGGATGCCCCAGGCCCTAAAGAGCCATCCTGACCTGCAGGAGGGTGGCAGAGGCCAAGGGGAGGGAGGGGAAGAACGAGGGGGGGGGCAGACACAGGGCTCAGCCTGCTTCACTGTGAGTCTCTGGACATAGAGGGCTGAGCGTCCCCTGATGCCGTTCTTGGGAAGGACTGGAGGGGGGTCAGGAACGGAAGGAAGCAGGGGTGGCTGGGGCAGAGGGGGGAAGGTGGGAGGCAGGTCCTGGAGAGGGAGGGAGGAGGTCTCCTCCACCTCATGGGCCCGGGTGGCTGTGTTAACTGTGTTAACTCACTTCCTGAGTCTGGTGTGGTCCCCCCAAAAGACCACAGTTCCCCTCTCCAGAAACCTCACCTGCCCTTCCCCGTGTTGGCCTCTTGAAGGAGGACAGCCTCTGGGACCCCAAAGTCTCCCGCCAGGGCGGGGGACAGAAGGTAACAGGAAATTGTGTGGGAGTGGCAAGGGCCCCGGCTCTAAGTGGATGGAAAGGTTTCCCAGAGCTCCAAGCCAGGCCTTCCACCCTGTGCCTTCTGCCCCAGCCCCTGCGCACCCCACCCCAGCTCACCTCCCCCCCTCCCCGGCCACAGCCATCCTCAGGAGGAAGGATGTGCTACCCAGACTCTCTCTCTCTCTGTCTGGACCTCATTCAGGTTCATGGTCAAGAGCAAGCTCCCTGCTCCTGGCCAGGCTCCTCCCCCTCTTCTAAATCTCTCACCACCACCACCCCCACTTTCATAAACCCCACGGTTCCTGGGTCCTTGCTGCCCACACAGGATAGGGATCTGTCCTCTGGGTCCTCCTGAACTCCAGGCCATGTTGGGATGCAGGCCACACCCCTCTGTCACAGACCCCGCCCCCTCCATTGCATGCCACACCGTCCATCATAGGCTGCATTCCATCTCAGGCCACGCCCCTCTGCCACAGACCATACCCCTTCCATCACAGACCACACCCCCTACATTGAATGACATACCCTCCATCATAGGCTGCATTCCCCATCACAGGCCATGCTCTCTGGAGCAGGCCACGCCCCCTGGCACAGGCCACACCCTCCCATGCACACCCCTGTGCCAGCCCTGCCCTCCCAGCCACCCCCTCTTGCATCCTGCCTCCACTGTGCCCCAAGCCAGGGCTGCCACCCCATCTCTGGTATGATGACACAGCCTAGCCCAGCTTCCTCTCAAGCTCCCCATACTAGGTCTCAGACACCCACTCACCTCCCAACCTCTGCCCAGCTGTCCATCCGCCTGAATGTCCCACCAGCCCCAGTCCTGTCTGACTCAGATTCTGCTAGGAAAGCCCCATTAAAACAGCACCTCCAGCTAGGTGCCAGTGGCAGCTCACGCCTGTAATCCTAGCTACTCAGGAGGCTGAAATCTGAGTATCGTGATTCAAAGCCAGACAAGAAAGTCCTGAGACTCTTATTTCCAGTTACCCACCAGAAAACCAGAAGTGGTGCTATGGCTCAAGTGGTAGAGCTCTAGCCTTTAGCTGAAGAGCTCAGGACAGCACCCAGGCCCAGAGTTCAGGCCCCACGACTGGACCCCCCCCAAAAAAGCAGCACCTCATCCGGGCACCAGTGGCTCCTGCAGAATCCTAACCACTTCTGAGGTTGAGATCTGAGGACCACGGTTCAAAACCACCCTGGGCAGATAATCCAAGAGACTTATCTCCAATGAACCAGCAAAAAGCTAGATGTTGGAGCTGTGGCTCAAGGGGTAGAACATCAGCCTACCAAGAATGAGAGGCCCTGAGTTCAAGCCCAGTACCAACACACACACACATACACACACACACACACACACACACACACACACAAACACACACACACACACACACCACAAAAGAATCACCTCCTCTATGAAGCTTTCCAGTCTTGCCCTCATTAGAATGAACATGTTTCTTTTCTGTGTTCCTATAGTGTAATATTCCCAGTACGTAATGCTAATGCCCAATTGGTATGCCCACCCCAATACTTCCTGGGGAAACCAAGCACAGAGAAGTTGATTTCACAGCCTAGGGTGGCACAGCTGCACCGCCACCTTAATTGCCAAAATAGTTGCTAAAATAGCGGTGACTGCCTGTGCGGCCATATCAGGGTTAATTCCCTCCACCTCCGTCCCCCTGGAGGCCAGGTGGGATGATTGTGATTCTGATACAGTGTAAGGGGGTCGGCCCGGAGTCTGGGGGTCACCACAGCCTCTCTTCCAGGACATCATCCGAGCATACAAAGCTGGGGCCCACCTCCTGGGCAACACCACCAGCATGGGGCGCTGGGAGTTCATGGGGTCCTTCTTCTTCTCTGTGTCCACCATCACCACCATCGGTAAGGGCGCCGTGGGGCTGGGGAGGGTGGGCGAGGTTGGGGAGGCCGGCCTCTTCCTGGGGTGCAGCATGGCTCTGCTCCAGCCTCAGGGTATCCCTGACTCTACATTTCACCCCGATCCCCAGGGAGCTGTGCAGCTGAAGGGGTCAGGACAGATGCTTCTGGGTACCATCACAGTATCCGGGGCTCCTGGGCTGAGTCCAGGCAGCAAGGAGTCCCGGAGATGGAAGCAGGGCTGGAGGAAGACTGGCAAAGAGAGAAGGAGTGAGCCAGGTGCTGGTGGCTCACGCCTGTAATCCTAGCTACTCAGGAGGCTGAGATCTGAGGATCTCGGTTCAAAGCCAGCCCGGGCAGGAAACTCCGTGAGACTCTTACCTCCAATTAACCACCAGAAAACCGGAAGTGGCTCTGCTTGAGCTGAAGAGCTCAGGGACAGCACCCAGTCCCAGAGTTCAAGCCCCACAACCAACGGGGGGGGGGGGGGAGTAGGAGGAAGGGAGAGGGAGAGAGAAGGAACTAAAATGCAAAGAAGGAGCCTTAAACCCCCAGAGCTCGGCCCCAGGGAGGTAGCCAGGCCAGGTTCCCCTCCCTGCCCCCCAGCCCTCTGCACAGGTGCCCCGTGCTCCTCCACGGGCCTTTCCTGCCCGCCACACCTGCACAGGTGAGGCTGAAGGCGGCCTGGGCCTCCTGGGGGCTGTTTGGGAAAAGCAGAGGTGGGAGCTGAGACTCCAAGGGACAGGGCGCACAGCCCAGCCCGGAATCCCTGCGTGGCCTGGATCCACCACCAGGTGGCAGTCTCCCCCCACCGCAGCCCCAGTGTCGCCTCCTGTTCCTGGCCAGCCAGCGGGCCTCGGCCCGGCTGCCACCTCCCTCGCTGGCCTGGAACCCGCTGCTACTTCTGGGAAGTGGGTTGGTGAGAGCATACTTGGAGCAGAACCTCAGCTCCTTGCACCCCAAGCTCGGGAGGGGAGAGCGGAGAGGACCTGGCCTGGCATGGTCACTCCCTCCTTCCCTCTCTCCTTCCCTCCCTCCCATCACCCAGCCTGGGCTGATGGAGATATGACAGAGAAACTGAGGTATGGGGGAATGGTGCCGCTTCCCGGGATCACAAAGCCAGTGAGCAGCATTACTGGGGCTGGAAGTTGAACCCCAATGGGAGCCTGCACCACTCTGTCCAGTAGCTTGTGTTGAGGGTGTGTGGATGGGGTGGTAAGCAGGGAAGGGGGGGGAGGCGAGAGGGGGGAAGGGAGGAGGGAGGGGGGACTCTGGCCGACACATAGCCACTGGGGCCGGCCTGAGCCCAGCTCCGCCTGGTGTGGGCCCGACTGTGTGCTCGAGGTAAGCTGGAGAAGCAAGTCCCCATTCTCAGACAGCTGATATTCCGGTGTGAGGGACACCCAGTAGACAGGTGCACAGCCAGGCACAGTGGCTCAGGCCTGTAATCCCAGCCGCTTGGGAGTTGGAGATCTGAAGGATAGTGGTTCTGGGCCATCAAAGACAAAGTTTGCATGATCCTTTTCTCAAGACAGAAACCAGGTTTGGGAGGATGTGCTATGCCAGAAAGTATAAATAAATGGATTGGTGTCTAGGACAGCCAGCCTGGGCAAAAAGCAAAAACAAACAAACACATGGTCCTATCTCAAAAATAACGATAGGAGCCAGGTGCCAGTGGCTCACGCGACTGAGATCTGAGGATTGCAGTTCAAAGCCAGCCTGAGCAGGAAAGTCCATGAGACTTATCTCCAATTACCCACCAGAAGACCAGAAGCTGTGGCTCAAGTGGTAGAGTGCTCACCTTGAGCTGAAGAGCTGAGGGACAGCACCCAGGCCCAGAGTTCAGGCCCATAACTGACAAAATAATAATAATAATAATTTTAAATAATGTTAGGAAAAAAAGGCTGGAGGTGTAACTCAAGTGGTAGAGGACTTGCCTAGCAAGTATGAAGCCCCAGTTTCAAACCTCAGTACCATAGAAAGAAAAAAGCGGCCGGGTGACAGTGTCTCACGCCTGTAATCCTAGCTACTCAGGAGGCTGAGATCTGAGGATTGCGGTTCAAAGGCAGCCCGGGCAGGAAAGTCTATGAGACTCTTATCTCCAATAAACCACCAGAAAACTGGAAGTGGCGCTGTGGCTCAATAGTAAGAGTTAGCCTTGAGCTGAGGAGCTGAAGGACAGTGCCTAGGCTCAGAGTTCAAGCCCCATGACCGACCAAAAATGGAAGGAAGGAAGGAAGGAAGGAAGGAAAGAAAGAAAGAAAGAAAGAAGCCAGGTGTATAAGCAGTAACTAGATGGTGAAATGCACTTGAAGAACATAAAGCCAGTTGTGGGGTCCTCTAGCGGTGAGGGGCACTGTGGACGAGTGGCCTCTGAGGACTCTGACAGAGACAGCAACAGAAAGGGCAAGCTGTGCACATACCTGAGCGAGGACGCTTTTCTAGCAAGTGCAAAGGCCCTGAGAGCAGCTGGCGAGGGCTGCATGCAGAAGAGGGCAGGCGAGCTTAGTCACAGAGCACATCCTGAAAGGGTCCAGACAAGCGAAGAGGTGCGGAGGATGCAGAGGGGAGGGGAGGGGAGGGGAGGCGGGGCTGCGGCCCCAGCATTCCACAGGCAGGGGAAGGCTTCATGGAGGCCCTGATGTTGCTGAGCCGGGGGAAGAGCGTGCAGGATGGCCAAGAGAAAAACACCCCCTTGAGCAGCCTGCGAAAGCCGCAGCCTCCAGATGGAAAGAGCCTCTGGGACCCACAACTGAGGGCGGAGGTCAGAGTGGAGGCAGGCAGGGGAGGGTGGGTACTGAAGGCCACCAGCAAGGAGAATGCCTTCTGTGTGTGTGTGTGTGTGTGTGTGTGTGTGTGTGTAGTGGACCTTGAACTCAGGACCTCACTCTTGCTTGGCTTTTCCTCTCAAGGCTGGTGCTCTACAATTTGAGCCACACCTCCCCTTCTGGCTTTTTGCTGGTTAATTGGAGATAAGAGTCTCACAGGTTTGTCTGCCCAGGCTGGCCTCCAACCACAGTCCTCCGATCTCAGCCTCCCAAATAGCTGGGATCACAGGTGTGAGCAACCAGCAGGGGTTGAAATGAGCCGGATTGGTGGGGGGGGGGAGGGGTGTTGCTCAGGGAGAGGCCTGGTCAGTGACCATCCCTCGTCCATCTGTCCATCTGGCTCCTATGTGTACTTTAATGTACTATCACCTGTCTCACTCACACCTCCCTCCCCCACATTACCCATGAAGAAGGTGGGATCAAAGGGGAGCTGGGGGTCAAACCCATGCTCTTCACCTCTCGGGGACCCCTAAGGTGGGGTGCTGGCACCCACAGCTTCGAGGCAGTTCAGGTGAGGGTAGGAAGCTGGGGCCTGGCTGCCCGGCCATGAGTGCGGGAGCACTGTTCGAGTTCCTGGGCACCCACGTGCGTCTCCTCCTCCCCGCATCCCCCAGCAGGGGCCCGGGTACCCGACCCACACCACAGGGCGGGCGCCTGCGCTCACGCCTGTCATCCCGGCCACTGGCGAGGCTGAGATCTGAGCATCTCGGTTCAAAGCCAGCCCAGGGCAGGAAAGTCGGGGAGACTCTGATCTCCAATGAGCCACCAAAAAACCAGACGTGGCGCTGTGGCTCAAGGGGTAGAGCGCTCGCCTTGAGCTGAAGAGCTGAGGGACAGGGCCCTGAGTTCAAGGCCCGGGCCGGCACACACACACACACACACAGCAGCAGGCAGGCGAGGCGGGCACGTAGGAGGAGGCCTCACCCTGCGGATGTGAGAGGAGAGCGGGAGGCAGGGTCTGCCCTCTGCCCTGAGCACCCCTTCTTGCCTCAGGCTACGGCAACCTGAGCCCCCAGACCATGGCCGCCCGCCTCTTCTGCGTCTTCTTCGCGCTGGTGGGGATCCCGCTCAACCTGGTGGTGCTCAACCGGCTGGGGCGCCTCATGCAGCGGGGCGTCCACG